TTCGCTATTCTCATAATAATATAAGAATATTAATTAATAATAAAATTAATACCAATACCATAATATTATGATTATTATTTTATAAAATAATATTCGGTATAGTTATTTTCAATATTTAATTTTAACTATTTTTAATCCCCTCAGTATGTAATGTTATTGCGGGTAATAAATTTTATGATTTTTTGAATCAATTGTAACGAAAAGATAATACAATCAATGACATACATGATGCATGCATATAATTAATAAGAGTAACCTTGCACATCATGCAAAGTGTACCTATGCAAGTACTACTCAAAAGATTCGATGACCGATAATTAAAGTCACGTGCCCATGCAACGAGTGAGCTACTAATTGCAGCCACTAGCAATCATTCTTCACCTTCGACTACTACACCCTAAAGACGTTTGCAAAACACCCGATCGGGTTCTGCAAGACAACACTTCAGAAATCGCTTAGATGGGAGCCTGGGGTGCAGCAGATGTACCATCACGTATCGACATAGCTTGTGTATTTTATAGTTATGCTTATAATACACAATCATTAAATTAACTATCGTCTTAATTATTCGTTGGAAATCTACTATCATTTGGATCTCTGACAGTAGGACTATGGCTGGATAATACAAACGAAATATTGATACATATTTTAAAACTTTTTCAATTCAAAATAATATGTAAATGATTAAATTAAGTCTAATGAAGTGATCATTGTCTTACTTAAAATAAACTATTGCGAATTAATTTTATTTGTTGCGTCCATAATATTATAGGTAGGTACACAATGAGTGGTGGAAAACAATTTTTTTTTAAACTTTTATTTGAAAATAAACAATTTATTATGTACATATTTTGTACTTGATATGAAAGATGGAGGTTTATCAGAAATACTTGATGGGACAAACCACCCCCACTAACGACCCTCCTGGAGGAAAAAAATCTTCCATGGGAAAAATTAAATTTTCCAAGTTTAACATACCTACTCTTAATATCGTTTGGCAAGTACTATAATAGATACTTGAAGATTTTTGGTATCTCGACATCGCCAGGCTAAGTGCAGTTTTTTTTCTCAATTGCCTGCGATTTAAGGCTCAATTTTCCTAAAATACATGTTAAATATTATTAAGCCGACGATACGTTTCACAAGACGACCGGAATCTACGGCCATAAGGCCTGTTCAAAAGTTAGTCGAACATAGAAACAGTACACGAAATTCCAAATTGCGTGGGTATACAAAATCTACGAAAACAACATGACGTAATTACCTGAATAGAATCGTGCATTCATAATAATAATAATAATAATAATAATAATGTATTATCAGTGTGCATTATCATCATAGGTATGCGTGCCGGATGCCGAGTCGTATGAATCGAAAACGTAGTGTGAGTTGCAGAGCACACCGAAAAGATGAATCTCGAATTTCAAACTCAGTACACACGGCATTAATAGGGATATGGTATACAACATATTATAATATATACGTACTATGACATCGAGATGCTTCAAATAATTAGCTTAAATTAATTAAAATTTCCGACGGTAACGCATGCGATTAATATTATACGCCTCGGCATTTCGTTCTAAACAAATCGGTATGCCGCCGTTGCGAAGTTGATCGGCATAATGTGTGTATGGTTTACGGTTCAAATTATTCAGTCGGAGTTATGTAGGTACGTTTTAAGCATAAAATATTATACGTAAAAGTGGTTCGCTTATTCGCACACAGCTCGCCGCCTCCCCGATTAGTATAATAATTGTCTATCCACAGTGGCTTTTTGTTAACGTTCATTTTGTTCTCGTATTAATAATCGTGCAGTACAGTGTCGGTCAAACGGGGGTGAGAGGGATAGATTTGCTCTCCAATGATCATTTTTCAATATTTATAACAATATAAATTGAAAATTATATGTTCAATGATCAAATAGCAGTGAATGTTAAAAAATCTACCACGCCCATTCCCCCTCCCCCGGCCATAAAGACTATTGTGAAAAAATATTATTTGACCACCGCATGACTGATGCAAATCCATATTAAACCTAAATCTTAAGTTACTGATCTTATGTTTGCACTCATGTGGTATTTATTATTTACAACCAGCATAGGTAGAACAGACGTCTGTCTTAATTAACAGGCATCGCACAATTGATGTTTTTTTCAAATTTATCTACCTATTGTGAAACGTATATAAATTATGATTTATAATGGTAGATTGAAAAAAATTGTGCTTGTTTACACTGAAAAAAAATTATTGTTGGCACTAACTTCATGGCAATTAAACTTGTACAAATCGTTTCCGTTGCCAAATCGTAACATTAAGACAAAATAATCTTACAACTTTACAGTTATAACTAAAGTACATGTACTTATAACTATTTTTATTCTTTAAAAATGTTAATCGAATACCAAATGATAGCCAAATTACAATTTAGAGATATTACTTACGAACTCGTGATGCAATTTTTTTGCAGCATATAGTGCTATAAAGTTTTTTTTATGTAAATATTATACTTTATGAAGTAGTTATAAGTTTATTTAGTTTTTTAGTTTTTTATTTACCTACTCGTTGTAGAAATAATCGGATCTTAACAGTTATTATAAATATTAATATGCGTTCGCTATAAGCTATACTTATTGTTTGAAGATTACTGAAGTCAAAATGTCTGTTGTGTCATACGACTTACACAAAGTTCACTAACATTTTGATGTTCATTCCGTAAAATCATAATAATATAGTCAAGCATGCATAACCACATCGTGTAAGTAAAATGATTCGATTTTCGCGTGACTTAAATCTGTTGTTTCCCTTGTTGTCGTGGGTTAAGTCACCCTCTAAACACACACATGGTTTTTTAATCACGTATTGTAAACCGCGTACAACAACGTCATAACTTTATGGAAATCGACAAACAATGGCTCATCTTTTTGGCATGCTATTGATTTTGCATAATATACAATGTGTTAGTGTGTTACACATACAACACAACACGCGAATAACATCGTCATAGTGATGTTTGAAATGCAATTAAAATCGAGTATAATTATAATAGTAATATGTAATCTGCCAATATATTATGCTTTCTCTCGTATATAATATGATAATAATATATCATAATAGTATGGCGCTGACGAGACGAACTTACGGTTTCGGGAATTTAATTTTCACGAAAAAACACGTCACTGTCGCTAAATGACATAATAATAATGATAATAATAATATTCGTATTGAATAGTTTCTCGATAAATAATAATTGTACTAATTTCTCACGAGAAATCGATTGAAAATAAATTACAAATTATTGATTTACCAATCGTTACGATGAATTAAGGTTAAATTCAAAATGGTAATAAATTAACATTAAAAATACTAACGTGAAGCAAAACGTGTACTCGTATATTCGGAAACTTTTGACACAAACACTGCAGGCATAAAATCTCTACGCCTGACATTTGAATAATTAATTTAACGATAGTCAAACGAGTGTATTTGAACATAACATGATGAAACTAAAACCAATAAGTATAAGTATAGGGTGTTTTCGTGTTGCATCACTGCATAAAAACTGAAAATGTATCATTTGTATTCAAATAATATATATTATAATATATCAGTTGTACTAATAAAAAATAGTATGTAAATAGTTCGTTTATAATTTATTTACAGTTATTTTACAAAAACATTGTTTATTTTTTTTATTTTTTTAGTGTATAATAATCCTTAAAACTTAAAAGTTATCATATGGTTTCTTTACATCGAGGAATAATTCACGATTCTCCGTGGTGATAACATAAAAAAGTTTTCTATAAAATATTCAACGCATAAATACCACCCAAATATTAGTGGAGATGAAAAAAATATTTTGTAATCACGAAAAGTGGTAGATAAAAAAACATATAATATACGAGTTATTTGATGTATTACGTCTTGTTCGTAATATTGAAGCTCCACCCTAGGTCTAAAGTATCTATTAATGTTTTATTATGTTATAAACTTTTATAGGAAACACTTTTTTACAATTTTCTCTCTTATTGAAAATAAAATAAATATACCTAACCAATATGTAATTATATTCACTTGTACGTTTATAATGTATCGTTATTTAAAAGCTCTTTTTTTACAATCATTCAATAACGGGCAGGGTCGGCCGGCTCAACGGACAATAGGTAAAATCAAATTTTACAGCTCCTATAGTAATAATATTGTTACTGTTTTAAAAATGGTGCCCTAAGTTTGGATCTTTGTCGAATACCCCTTGAGCCGGGCTCAACAGCGAGTATATTATGTGAATAATCAGATAGGTATGTCACAGTTAATATTGATTTAATATGATATATTTACAAGTGAGTAAAAATAATATGTTTAGACAATCGATGATGGTCATTGTTCTCTATATTTATATTTTTAAACAAATATGTATTTTTACAAAAATTATTCACCCTGATAAATGTGTATTGGTAGTAATGATATTTTTTAGTACACGAACAATCAAAATACCAATACACGTTATTACACACTCGAAAAACTATTGGGGAAATGTGATTTATTGTTGCAAACGTGTATTTCGCAACTATAACATTTATGTTTTACAAGAAATATCGTTGATATATAATATTTAAGTTGGTATTTGTAGGTGAGAAAAAACATGATTGCGCGTGCTCGCGGATGAAGTTTCGAAGTCTTCAGCGATATTTGGGATAATAATATATTTCATATTAAATAAAAGTAATAATATTATTCTTTGGAATCAAATGAAGAAAATTTAGAGCGACCATTTTAGGAAAACAAAATTATTTTTCACATTTGGTTGGTACCACCGAGAATTTCGTGTCGTGAATGTAATTTCGTTACAGATTTACTCGTTGTACTCTCCACAAACAAGTTTCACTTCAAAAAACGCGTGTAAATATTTCCCGTGTGTTAAATTTACAAACAAAATATATTTTTACCGTTTTGAAATCTCAGCACAAATAAAAAGCTTAAACTCATAAAATGACGTTTAGATTCGATTTTGCGGTAAGATAGTTATTATTTTCAAAATAATAATATCTTTGAATATCCTCGCCGTATTCCTGAACCAATTAATTAATAAAACACTGAACGGCATTTTCACTCACAACTTTATATGCGTGTTCATTGTGTGGAATCCGATTGGAAATAAGGAGTGCACAGACAACCTAAAAGTCTATGTCAGTGGTATGTACGGTTGATTAACGATCCATTTTAATTATTAATTTATAAACAATGAAGTACTGGAGACCACTAATATAATAATATTATAAATTAGGTATGTAAAACGTGTTACGACTGAAACTACCAAATATGTTGTACTTAAAACCAACAAATGTGACTCTTAAATTTACCAAAAGTTTAAAATGTAAATAATAATTGTAACGACTAACGACGTAAAAACCAAACATGTACACGACGTACTTAATTTATTCATTAGTTCTATATAATTTATGTGTGACAAAAAATATCATTGATATGTAATTTTTGATTACATTTGGTTAGGTCATTGTTTAAATAAAACAAACGTAAATTTGTCGTTTGTTATACATTTATAAGCCAAATGCATTTTTACCGTTTTGAAGAAAAGAGAAACAGAGTATAAAACCGAAATTAATTTCGATTAAATTTGTATGTACAATCATTATTAATTACGAAATAAAAATTGATAGTAGGTATCTTTGATTTTGGTGTGAAAACCAATATCGGTGGTATTGTTAGGTACTGTTAGAGTTGATTAACGTTCCAAATTAGTTATTACAATTTATAAACAGTGAAGCACTTGATACAACTCAGTAAAATCAGTGTGGAACTGCCTGTAAGTGATAAGATACATATTATTAAAAAAATGTTGATATTGTTTATAAAACGTGGCAGAACTACAACTACAAAATATGCTGTACTTAAAAAGGGCAAATGTGAATCTTATAAATGTATCAAAAGTCTGAAATGTAAATATTTTAATGAAGTAAAAACAAATGTCACACAATGTACTTAATTTATTCATTAGTTCAAAATATTTATGCATAATTTCAAGGCTAGAATAATAAATTAGGAAACAAAATATCAGGTTAACAATAAGACCCGAAATACGATGGATAACAGCATATTATATTATATACTGTAATTCTATCTACATACATACATAATTGTATATGAAACGATAGCACTGAATACAATAATATACAGTGAAACTTCCACGATACAATTTTTCATAAGCAGCAAAAAAAATTAAACTCGTATTTTTGAGAATTTTGATAAATGCAAATAATTCAATAACGTTTACTATAATCCGGTTTGGTTCCCAAAATGTTTTCGTTAAATAGAAAATTCTATAAAATGGAAGTTTCTCTGTAATAACTTTATGAGTGGTGTATTGTTATAGACCAAAATTAAATAACAGAATGAGATACCTCTATACCTACCATTTTTCTGTTACGGTACATTATGTTTGGAAACACATTGTGACTGATCAGATATTATTTCAATGATATGTTCACGTGTAACCGATTTTAGGGCCAAATGTTTCCCTCAGTCAATAAAATACAACATAAAAGACAAATATATTTTTTACTCGAGATACTATCTAAAAACATTTTCATTGTGGTTTCCAGATGTATCGGAATGCCTGTTGAGCAAATCAAATAAACATCAAAATAACTTGGGTGAATTCTCGGGGAAACCTGATCTACCATACTTCGATAAGGCAGCGTCGAAAAATGTGACGTCGCCTTTGGGAAAAACGGCCTATCTCAACTGCAGAGTCAAAAATCTTGCCAACAGAACCGTAAGTAAACAAAATATTTAATGTTTTTTTTTTACCACTATTGATGTAGTAATATTATATGTCAAAAACCCAAAAACATAAAATAACCCCTGTTTTAAGTTAAATTTATATTTATTCGTAGACATGACCATTACAGGGACATATTATAGAACTAAATATCAAGAACCTCGTGTCATACCTGAATGGACGATTAAATATAATTAAAATTATTAATAATATTAACGTTTTAAATAGAAATCAATGAAACAGTTTTATCCCATTAATTTGCCCTTTATATGCTTTTTTTTTGTATTATCTGATACAAATCAAGTCGAAATAAATAAATATCGCTTTTACAAACAAAAAAAAGTGTTCAAATTTACGATTGCATATATACGAGCGAATATACATTTGAACGTTCGCATTTTATTCCACAGAATAAATCTGTGTTAATAGGCAGGTATACATCTGTTGTTCTGCTTACGATCCGTTTTATTTCATAATAAACAATTTAATTAAATTTCGGCATTCAAAAAGAAAACCATTATTTTCTTTTTTACGTAATAACTCCGTCCCACACTTGCTATTTTTTAAAAAAGACAACTATACTTACTGTTCCGTTAAAAAATAATTAAATTTAAGTTTCTTTGAAAATTTAAATGCTATAGAATTATTTCTACAAACGAAAAGTTTTATTGGACGAAATTGTCTTCTGGTCTGACTTATTTTTTGGTCTAAAAAATAATAATTAAATTAAATTTTTAGTAAGCGTTATAGTTTTTTTCTATGTTATTACACCATAGTGTTTACTTCAAAGATGATTAAAAGTATAATCGGAAGAATACAATTTTTATACATTCGGTTATTTCGAGATCTTATAATTTTGTGGATCCTAAATCTTTAAGTATAGGTTTGAAATAACACGCTTATCTAAGACATAACTTCGAGTAGGTTATCTAAAACTTTGAAAAATTGTAGGACTCAAGTAGTCATACAGCCGTGCAATTCGTCCAAAACAAAACGAAAATAATTAATTAGAAATTATACCTATTTTATTAAAACGAACAAATTATGTATACATAATGTATCAGTAGAAATAGTCATGACTGGTGCACACTAGAAAAAAATTATTTTGTATTATAATTCAATTTAAATTATTTGCAAGAAAAAAAAAAATTTTAAGTAATTTGATGTGAATTGTGCTGTCGATTTTTACAATAATTGTATATATTTTTGAACTACTGGAACACTTTTTTTATGTGTTCTTCGTATTTTATGACGAGACCCGTTAAATACTTGATGGGCGTAAAAAAATTTCCGAGTACGCGCACGGATATAGTTTTCTCTGAATAATTCCATTAACACACACGATTGTACGCCGCGGTAATTATATGCCTAAATAAAAAAAAAAATAAATTAACTGAAACGAAGTTAAACGAAAAACATAAACACCAACCTTGATTAAATTTAATAGGCAGTACACATATCATTGCAGCTTATTTATTTTTCGAATAGGTACCATCGTCCGAGTAATGATATAATTCAATTGCTCAGTATATTCTCTACCTACAAATATCGTTAATTGCGTTTTTTTTCATATATATATATATATATAATATAAACGTATCCAGTGTGTTCTGCATCAGCACACTGGTACTGTGTACCACTCTTGCCTACCCGTATTAAACTAAAGTCGTTAGAGAACCTCCATAATATACAATTTCGTTTCGTTACAATCGTAGGGTAAATTCTTCAAATACAAAAAGAATTATTTTCACTTAAATCACATTAATTGGTAAACAGAGTATATTAATGTTATTAACCGACAACATATGCACACACACACACGCACACACATTATTATTATTTTGTTTCTCGAATACAATCATATTGTGTAGACATGTAGGATTATCGTTGTACCACAACTACACACAATGAATATTCACAACGATCATGGTTATTTAATAAACACTTGTTTTTAATATTATCAGCTATATTTCGTATTCCGCGTTAGCTCGGTGGATGTAAAATAATAATAACAATTTTCGCAACTGAACGTCTGTGGTTTTCGTTGTAATATTATACACGATTTTCACCTCATATACTTTTGCTAGTTTTATGTCCAACCAAATCGTTATGGCTGTTGTAGTTGTGACGAAAATTGTCTGAAATAAAAATACGATACACATAACATTGTAGGTACTTATGACCCACCTGTATTGTGCATACGAACTTAATTGTTTTGAAGGACATTATAAAATTGTAATCTAAAATAAAATCTAGAATAAAAATATTTACGGTTGGTATCGTTATAATATATATATATATATATATATATAATATATATGTTTTTTAATGTCATTGATGTCGGACACCGAAATAACGAATCCATTAACCCAACTACGATATTCCAATTTAAGTTTGAATTAGTTCAAATTTTTTCGGGACACTTCGGAGATTTCATAATATTTAGTTCATTTGTACGTTTATTTATTGATAACGTAAAAACGAAATACTTGAGCCAAACTCGTAAACATTTCATAGGTTTTAAGATGGTGGTAAATTATAGAATACTGCGTTCAAAAACTTTATGAAAGATATCGTACTTTGTGGCCATCCAAAAAGGAAGTTTTACATCAAAACTTTATATACCTCTGTATGTTAGTCGAACGCATGTTTCTCCAAAATGTTTAAATTAATTAAAATCATAAAATTAATAGAAAAACACATACGATATTCATTATTTATTTATTTATTTATTTATAATGAATTAAATATTGTGACTCCACGCACTAAATCATTCACTCATCGCTACCTAGTTACTAATATTTCCAATTTATTTTTTTTTGCCTTATTTTATTTTTTACATTACGGAAATAAAATATAGTATTCATTAGACGATTTATGAACGTGCATAATAGGTATTCTTTAGTAATTCAACCATATTATGACATGTGATAGCACAAACACAATTTTATGAGGGTAAATAACGATTGTAATTAAACACAATCAGAAATAACGACTGCTTATTGTAATATACATAATATAACATAAATTGCAAGAACAAAAAATGACATCAAACGAACTGTAAAACGAGGTTAGTACAATAATAAATTATACTATTGAATAGGTAAGAATAGAAAAAAAACATCGAATGAATCATATTAACAGAGAGTAGAGTCGACCAACTATAACGAACTATACATTTTATATCATTGCTATATAATAACTATATTACCAGAGATCAAACGCGCGTGTTATAGGTACTATTTTCAACTGTCGCTTATTGTGGCGTAATTAGACTCGTTTCGACCTTTCAAAAATGTAAGAGCTGCCTAGCAGATTTATTTATCTGAATAAACCAAACATCAATAAAATGCTGATTTCGTGTAATTCTCTGTGCGGACCAAAGAGAATTTGTTTGTTGATTCGATGAACATACCTGTAATATATTAAGATCAATGATGCTTTTAAGCCCAACCCCTCACATCATCGGAACTCGCCGATCGAATTTAATTAAAATGGTCTATGCGAGTATGTTTTGCGCTCTCACAGGGAATAATATATAATATATTCAGGAAATGAATACTAAAACAATCACAATATTTTGTTGTTCGATGTACCTATTATGATTACAAAAAGTCACGTATCACGGGTACTAATGCGATCGAATTTTCAGAACTATGTTATTTCTGTCCATGCTCTGTAACCATATAATATATACATACCACGACCGTTATAATCATAATGTGGGTATGCCGTGTTTGACAATAACGACGAGGTAATTTATCCGAAGAATCGCGTCTCTTCCAGGACAGACGAGTACACCCCCACAATGTGTATAGTAACGAGTAATAATATATAATAGGTTGGCATTATATGTGTGAAAATATCAAAGCACATTTTTGTAGCATCTGATAATATTCAAATTAGTCTTTTAAATGCGCACCGTGCAATAACTGCAATGGTCGACTTATTTTTTTTGATGAGTACTCCCCAACCCCAACCATTTCGATTTTTCAACTTTTTCCAACGCCAATATTTAGTGATCCGTTCCTGCCAATTTCTGCCGCAAATACCGAAATTCCTGCTCAAAGAACGGAATTGGCAAGAATGGAGCACTAAATATTGGAGTTGGAAAAAGTTTAAAAATCGAAATGGGTGAGGTTGGGGAAATGTACTCAAGTACTCCGATAAACATCCAAAAAAATTATCTTTGTTAAAATACGAGTATAGAAATTAAATGGCTTATTTTTAAAATTCAATATTATAATTGAATAAAGGAACGATAAAAAAATAGTTTTTAATATATTAGTAAGTGTATATCCACATGCTAATATTAATTAGTCGAACTACCATATTTTCTACCCTGCTCGTACTGAACCATACCGTTTAAGGTTGAAACAATCACAACATAGAGGACAGTGAGCAGTCCTAAGTCCTGACCTACTTAACTAATAATATTTAGTGAACTTTTGTATCGAGAATCTTTTTTTCTTACATCGGTGGGTTTCACTATTCTCCACATTTTACAAACTATAACTCGTTTACCAGTACATATTTTGTTTTCTTTTTTACTTTATGATAGCGTTTTTGTTTTTTTCATCTATACAAAAAAGAGGTGTAGACCACGTCAGTTAGATTTTTTAACGATATTCAACAGATATTCTATTTAAATCTGATACAACAATGAAATGTGAATATAATATTATTCCGCATCAAATAGCGTTCGGACGGTAACCGCATCATCTATAGTCCGCTGTGGTTAGCTGGTTGCTAATCGGTGACTCGGGTTTTCGGGTTTTCGGGTCGTGCGATCATGATATCGTCGTATTGTATAAAATAATAATATTATGTAAGTATATACACGATTCAATGCGCACAGCGAATTCGACCACTCCGGGACGACGACGAGGGCGGTGCGGGCGTCGCGTTAAACTTCTGCACTCTCGAGATTATAATATAATATAGAGACGAATAATATCATACCGGATATCCCGGTGACGAGGAGGGCAATGACC